TAATTAAGCAGTCAGTAACGAGCGAGGGAGGGGGGGTGGCAACCGTTTTGCCCCTCAATTCTGGTTGTCAAAATTTTCCAAAAAGATCCCTTTAGTATTTTTGTACGACACCCATTTTTGCTTGACCAAGCTCAAAATTTTTCTAAAAAGCGCTTCTTAACCAATGTAATTTAACTTGATGGTGGATTGAGCGCAGAAAAAAACGTGAACTTGCACTCAAATTGTCACTTCTGTCCTTTTTCTTGAATTTTCTCTGCGGCCCAATAATAAGTTTATAAAGCAAATTAGGGTCTCCATTTTAGGGTTTTTACGGGAATTTGGAAAGTCAAGTAACTTATAAAAATGCGTGTGCATGTGCAGGCCACTGTTACTTGTTCTACAGTGCTGATTTAAATTAACCGGACAAAACTCGTTAAACTTGAAATGTAAAACGCCTTTTTCTCAAATTGGTTTGAGTTTAGGTGAAAACTTATGAAGACAAAACTTGCCTAGAGTTTTAGCAGAATTAGTATGGTGTAGTTTGTTTTGCGAAATTCAGGCTAAAAATTTTTACCCCAAAAATGAGTCGTTTTGGTTTTTCTTAGTTAATCAAAAATTACGCCAAAAATACACAGTCGATAACAGACATGATTATTTCAAAGTGAGCCCCTTACGTAGTCCAACAATCTTTAAGAAGGGTATATTCTCCAAACATTGTATAAGTTAATTTATTTTTGTTTGATAGAAAATACCAACTTTTTATTTAGAAACAATTTTAAACGGTTTGCAATTTTTTTTGCAGAATAAACCCTTCCTAAAGTTTGTTGGACTATGTAAGGGGCTCACTTTGATATAAATATGTCTGTGATCGACTGGGTTTTTTTGGCGTAATTATCGATTAACTAAGAAAAGCCAAAACGACCCAATTTTGGTAAAAATTTTGGCCTGAATTTCGCAAAACAAATTACACCATATTAGTTCTGCTAAAAAATTAGGCAAGAAAATGACGCTAAAAACGTGAACGATTTTTAGTTTTGAAAGAGGATTTTAAATTTTGATTTCACAGCGGAATAAAAATTTTACTCGTTGATCCAAGTTTCGCAATTTACGTTCATTTTATTCTTAAAGTCTCAACCCTAAGTTGTTCTTAAAGCTCGTAGAGCTTTAAATTGATATAATTTTGTCTTTGATATTTGAAAATCTTTCCTGTTAAACCAGCCTGTATCTCCGATAATTTGGACAAGAACTTCGATCGAGAAATCAGTCTCTTTTGCAGTCTCGAATCTTCTCAAAAATTACCATAAAATAATGTTTTAGCAAGGTCACATCAATAATGTACGAAACACAATGATGTTTGACTACGGCGGAGACGCGCTGAAATCACAAACTGAAGCTGAACAGTATATTGACGAGTTAATGAAAAACTTCACTGTTTTCATAGTGGCCGAAAGATATGACGAAAGTCTAGTAGTGATGAAAAATAAGATGTGCTGCCATTGGTCAGATATTGTGTATGTTAGAACAAATGAACGCAAATACTCGTATGGAGTCAAAAATAATTGGAGTGCAAAAGGATATAGAATTGGCAGCAAACTTTCGTGAGCAACTTCAGGAGTTTCGAATCTTCAACGAAAGCGTTACAAGATGGTGCAGAAAAAACAATCGTTCGAACTCTTCTCGTTCATTTTCAATGCAAACGCAATTCACGAACAGGCACGAGAAGTTTTTCGAACCATTGGGCTGCAAACGAAAAAATGAATTTGTTTTACAATAAATTAAGGAAAATTAGGATCCAAAGGAGTTTACTGAGAGCTAAAGCATAATTTTAACTGTCTCACTAATTAAAAATTTAATAGAATGACTAACAGTGGCCTGCACATGCACACGGAACTTTTGTAAGATTAAATACTTTGATGTTCCAAATTCCCGTAAAAACCTAAAAAGACCCTAAATTGCTGTATACACTTAGTTTTGCGCCGCAGAGAAAACTCAAGAAAAAGGACAAAAAGTGACAATTTGAGTGCGCGCAATCCACCATCAAGTTAAATTATATTGGTTTAGAAGCGCACTTTAGAAAAATTTTGAGCTTGGTCAAACAAAAATGGGTGTCGTACAAAAATGCTATAGGGATCCCTTTGGAAAATTTTGGCAACCAGAATTGAGGGGCGAAACGGTTGCCATCCCCCTCTCACTCGCTCGCTACTGACTGCTTAATTAAAATATTTTTATTTTTGGAATGTCAATATATCAAATCAAGAACTAGAAATTACGTTGTATACAGAGCTAATACGCCAAATTACCACGCATGAATATTTTGCATTTAAAATTATAAAGTAACAAACAAGCAGTCTCCATCCACACTTACTGAAGTGCAAGTGCACCCAATTGATAATCCAGAATTTTTAGGATTGTTCCATTCGCCGTCAAACTGGTCTGGATAAAACACCCCATTCCTACTGATAATTTTAGTTTTTTTTTTCTTAAGGAATAGTCTTAAAAATTGCTCCCGCTCAAACCTGCTTTTAGCGGTTTATTTTTTGATTTCTCTCTAAGCTCTGCTCATTTTTTGTGATAACAGGAAGGCAAATCCACTATCAAACAGCAAAAGAGTAAAGGTGAAATTTTGTTTTTCGTTTTACCAGCCGAACAAAAAAATCATCTAGGAAATAGTTGTTTTCAATTTCAAAAGTTGACTTTTTTTTCAAAAAAAAACGAGTAGGTTTTTTTATTTACTTGCGTTCATTGTCTCTCTTCAAACTGTCTGTTGGCTATGTCTTCAAATTCCGAAAAATTTAAAGACAACTGCTTCTATCAGGGTAATGTTTTGAATATTTTGTTTTTGATCAAATTCAAAATTAGTCAGTGAAATAAAAATGTTGTCAGAGTTGTAAATGTCGAAGATTTTTTTGCATCATGAGCCTTGACGAAAAAGTCGAGAAAAGAACAATTAAACGAAAGTTGATAAATTTTGTCTTCTCTTTATCCCTCTAAACACGAGGTAAAAGAAAAAAGGACGTAATTAGCATCTTGTTTTGTGTTATACAGACCGAATTGCTAAAATTTTGAACGATACAATTCGTCGCTTATGCGTGCTGTAAGAGTCTAAGATACACGTCATAATTTTTCATATTGGCCCTGGTCTTCCAAAATGAGATGAAAGAAGATTTTTTCTGAATTTGAGCTCAGTAGTACGGTAGTTTTAGATAGTATTAAAAAATTTTGCTGAAAAACGCTCTTTCAAAAAATCAAAGTCGAAGATTGACTCAATAAAAATCCACCCAGGCATAAATAAATATTTTGTCCTCTTCTTATAAAGTTGGAACATCTAAAAGTTTATTTGAATTTGGCGCAAGTTAGTTGGATACCCGTTGAACACCAGAAGAAATGATGCTGCAAAAGAACCTAAATTTTTGACTAACTTAAATCAAGGTTCCAACGTTTTCAAGAGCATACAAAAAACAGTCAGAAATTTTATGTAGAGACACATTAGAGTCTCAATCCGCCAAAAAGTCTATCAATGTGATGCCGGTATTAAGGAAAACTAATTCGAAACTACTGCTTAAATGTGTTCGCCAGAAGATTCTTCTTTGCACACAAAACGTTTCCAAAACTGGCAAATTTAGGGTATTTTCTGTTAATTCTGTCTGTCCAAACTGTTTGCAACTAGTCTTGTTGTCCGGGTTAGAGTGAATGAAGGCAAAGGCGCTCCAAGTGAAAAAAAATTAAACAACTTGATTTTAAATTATAACTTTTGTGCAACAATACTCCGCTTTGATTGTTAAGTTATGTCTCTGAGAAAAGTGTTCACAGGAATTACTCGTCGATGTTGGTTTGTTCTCCCTGCTACGGACGAGAAGTGTTCGTTTTCTTCGCTCATGTGTTCGGCAACATGCAAGTTTTCGATTTTCGGTTCGGATGCTGCCGAATCCTCTCTCTCGTCGTCTAGTTCGTCCGGAATGTAAGCCGAGTTCCGGGTATGCCAAGTCGTGTTTCGGCGCAACGCCGGTTTACTTTTTTGGTTGTTCTGAAGTGAGTCAATAGCACTAAATCAAATAGAATACCATTGAAAGAAATTTTGAGGGTTTTTGAAGGTTTCATTTTTGAAGTTTCAAATCTAGACAAAACTACTCTTATTGAAAATTTATTGACAAAAACTAGAGGATATCCGTCATTATAGTTTTGGCTTCAGCGAAAATCAAAAGCTAACTATACGCTAACTTAAACACGGATAGTCGGTTGTAATGCAAGTATTTTCTTTGTTTTTTTTTAGTTTAGTGTCGTTTTTAGTGCGTGGTGTGAAAAGAAAACATATAGAAAGCTTGTGAATTAAGCTTAATGGATAACATTTGTCATCAAAAAATGAATAACAAAAATTGATAAACTTTTTCTTCAAATTTTGTCTAATTTTTCGCACAAAACCTAAGAAAACCTTTGTTGAAAGGGAAGCAGGAAATAAAATTTACAAAACGAATTTTTTTCTAGTAAAGTTTTCTTAAGATTTTTGGTAAATGTTTTCTCAGCCTTCAAGCCTACATTAAAGTTAGAATTTCGTACAACGTACGTTACTTTTATTACTCGATCGCTTTACTCGCTTGAGTTTGAACTAAAACTCAAAAATTTCAGACCATCACCGTTTTTCTCATCACCGAAAATTTTTTATTGAAAGTTCTTTCATATTGTTCAAATCATTTCAATGAATACGATCCATTCCGATCAATAATTGTAGTACCTGATTTTGCATGGATAACAAAAACTGAAACACATCCGAATACAAGGTTCCTTCCCAATTTTTAATTGTCGTAACAAGGACTGTTTTTATATCCGAAAACTTTTAAGTCCACGTCCACGAAAAATTAAATGTACAAAGATCCTAAAGCATTACCTTTCGCCATCTCTGTTGAGTACTCTGAAGCTTAGAACTCGTAAGTATTTGCGACTGGAACCCGGAAGTTTCGAGCCAGAAGGAATTGAACCGGGATAAACCCCAACAGAATTAGTTGCTATTACTTCTTCGTCATCCTCTACCCGATTTTTAGGAAAGTCCCGGTCTGTTTTTGAATTTACGCTTCTTGTGGTGATAGCGGTCGTGTTAGACCTCGCGACTACAAGTTTAACTCTTTGAAATCTTTCTCCTGGTGACATTCGTGTTGCGTAATCGGAACTTTCCGCTATGCTGAGAAATTCGATGGCTCTTTCGCCCGGTTCACTTCTGCAGGAGAAAGAATCGCAACGGAACAAGGACGCCATTGGGATGATGTTGTCTAAAATGATTGATTCTTTCGACAATTTGAGTCATAGAAATGTAAAAAAAAAATACTACAAAACAAATCAAAAACACGCAAGTTCGGTGTGCAAAATGTTATTATTGATTCTTAAAAATGATAAGTTGTATAAGGTTGTTTCAAATTTCTATTTTTCGAATTATTTAAAGGAACAGCGTTTCTGTACAACGAAGTTTCGTAATAAAATTTGTAGATAGATTCGTATGAAGTCAAAAAGATGCTCTCTTACCCGATACATCAACAAAATCGTTAGAGTCCAAAACTTCGGCGATGTACTCCAAACGATAACCATCTTCACTGACGCTTTCATGCGCATCGTTTGAGTCTCCGTGAGAGTTGTTCTGCATTTGGGACAGTCGGTCATCGAAGAACATATTAGAGGATATGCTGGATGCAGTAGTTGTGGAGTTACCATTGCTGGCTGGGTGCTAGAAAGGGTAATGGACCGATGTTGAAATCAGCAGATACAACAAATCAGGACCGTTTTAAATTTTTTTAAATGGTCCAATTTTTAAAGATAGCGAACTGTTGTGCAAACAGCACAGAACTTTCCGGCCAGGTGAACAATCTCCCCCCTAATGGACCAAATTAACAATCTGCCCCCTATAATTTTATTGCAAGTTGAAGCCGTACTACGCCTAAATTTGATTGGCTGAAAACATTACTTTTAACCAAGTGAACAATCTCCCCCGTGATTGAGGGGGGGGGGGATTGTTCACTTGGTCCATTTTCCGACCTCACTGATTGAACAACAAATGTTCAAAGCAAAAGCAAGGCAAGATTGCTTGTATCAAAGAAAATCCTTGAGTGTTGGTTTTCAAGGTATATGAAGTAGTTATCGTTTTAGAAAAGTCAATGGAATTTTCCAAGAAAAATATTTTTAAAAAAACACTTATATATTCAGGTTTTATTTTAGAATCCATCCGTCACACTATCTTAAATTGAAAATAATATAACTTGCTTACAGCACGCCTCATTATAATTTGCAACGATTTCTATGATGATTTAAATTGCGCGCTAATTGTCCCAAATTGGTCAAATTGGCAGTTTAAAAACCTGTAACTTTAGGAAAATGATTACAGGTGAAATATTTTCAAATTCCGTCTAAAATTGCTAGTAAACAATTCAAAAAAGTTCGAAAAAAAACAACCGATCGGAGCACAATATTCCGCAACTTTCTTGGAAAGTTGGAACAAAAGACTGCTGAGTCAAGGCGAAGCCCTAAAGTTTCCGACTGAGTTTTAAGGTCAATAGAGTAGAGTTCACCATATAAAAAATGGAAATTTTTAAACATAGAAAGAAATTCTGTTTAAAATTTTGAAAACCATACCCCCAATTACTATGTAAAACAGAAACTGATATCATAAAGCAAAATATGAAACGGACCAAATCTCACGCCTCAATTTAACTTGTAACAGATTCTATGAGAAATTAAATAGCGTGAATAGCAAAAAATATATTGCGCGTAAAATAAAACTTATCCCAAATTGGTCATATTGGCAATCTTTAAACCGTCATAACTTTACAAAAAAAGATAATACATAAAATACGTTCTCACTTTTGAGCTAAAGGCAGCAACTAATTTTGACTGAAATAGAAAAAAAAATCTCGTCAAGAATTACTAGTTAGAAAAATTTAATTTGCTTGAAGAAAATCATCCCGAGCACAAAAATTTTGTCTTTCTCTCCTTCATATTTCCTTTCATGTCTTGAAGTGAGCTGAAATATGAATGCAAGTGGATTTTTTAGGATGGTATAGAGGTTTGAACTCAAAAGTTTTTCACTACTGATTGCAATTATCCCCATTTTCTTATGAGTGTCCGCAAAAAACATCAAATGTTCTGATCGCTAACTACAACGTTAAATTTTGAGTTTTTTTATTTTTTTATTTAACCAGTGTTTCTTGCTATTTTAACTTACCATGTTGGTTATGCACTTATTTGGGAACTTATGAGTGGCATCTTGGTTGAAATCAACTTCAATTTCCGCCTCTGTGATGCCATTTTGTGCCTTCGAGTTTCCACTGTTAGTAACCTTTGCAATTCTGTTTAAATCAGCTATTCGGATTGAAGAATCTGAAAAAACCGCTCTGATGTTTGTTTACTTTTCAAAAGTCGCTCTTTGTGTGATAAAAAATGACTCATTCATCACATTCAAATTTCTACTAGCAACATTCTCCTAAGTCAACTGACTTTTTGTGGCATTGTCTCGTATCCGTCTGTGATCAAGCCCAGCATCGCAATATGCAGGCAGAACGCGGATTTTCTACAATCTCCCCACTTTTGGAGTTTCAAGTTTTTTTTAGTTGTGTTATGTGTGATTATGGTTAAACGCGTAGAGCATCGATTTAAGGTTTGAGGACCAAATCTGGGCTCTTTTTCCTTACCCCCCCCCCCCCACCTCGTATGAGCATAAATTTTATGATGTAATGAGTGGTTTTACAAGGTTAATTATGAAGACCAAATATGTTTGTCATGGCCCGATTAGTCCGCATGCCAATTTTCTTGTTAATCGGTTGGTGGGAACAGTAATTTTACTTGTAAAACTTGCAGGTGGGGGGGGAAGGAAAAAGAGCCCAAATCTGTCTACAGTTGTTAGTTTGTTAACCATGCATTGTGACAATGTTAAAGTAGTTCATCAAAAATGAAAACCAAAAGTGGGGCCAATGTCAACAGGAAACTTACCTATTCAAACATGCGTACTTTTTAAGTGAGCGAATTTCAATAAACAAGAAAGAGCAAGCGAATCAATTGCATTTTTATACGTGGTCATGCTAATAAGCACACATGCCAATAGGCCGGCCCCTACAAAGAAAACATCTTTATCTCAAACTTCAGTTCGCTTTTGAGACATTTTCATCTATATTGACTTTTCATCAGAAAACAAATAGAAAAACTTATGAAGTCTTCCTTTCTAAGAGGTCATTTCTCAATAATATGACAGAGCCGAATCTCATGCAATAAATCCTAAATATATCCGGTTTTTTCAGGAGATCGAAGATGTTTAAAATTTTTTTTAAAAACTATAAAACTTTAGGAGAGTTTTTAAAAACCTGGTGGCAAAGGATCAGAGGACTCATGAAAGTTTCTTCGATGCGAAGTCCACTCGCTAAATTGGGCTGTCGGAGCTTTCGTTTCTTGGACCATAAGTGAAGATGGCATAACAGCAGCATGTATAATGTAACAAAACAACCTGGCAAAGAACATGGTTGTAGATTGGCCTCCAGACAGGTTAAGTTGTACGAGAAAAACTCCCTGAAAAACACCATTCGATGAACATTGTTTAAAATGTGGACCTAAACAAGAAAACTTTCTTACCTAAAACTTGGCTCTAAACTTTTTTCAGGTCGACCAAATTTATTCTCTCAGCTCTCCAAAATTTCTATCAAGGCTCTATTTTGAACTAACTTTCTGCGTCGCCGGCAAATTTCTGAAAAGCCCAAGAAGGAAAAAAAATTAACCTAAATTGATTTTGTTCGGCGCCCTCTCCACCTCGAAATTAGTGTATTTTGGCGCGTAAGGCGCCTTCTGAAAGTTTTTGAGTTCTAACAGCCAAAAAAGGATATTTCAAAATAGTACCAAGAGGAACCCTTTGGGTCAGCAGGGGATCGAATCACCGAGGGGGAAGGGCTTTCGTCCGCTGTCCCGTATATCCGCTACTGGATCGGATGATTCGCGTTGACTTTAGATTTAGTAAAAAAGATCGCTTTCTGTAAAAAACATTGATTTTTCAAATTTTTTGATTGATTATTTTTGTAATACTTTTTTGTAATCTTTTCTTTCGTATTATTTACTTTTCTGTAAAAACTACGAAATAATTTTCTGGATACGAGTAATTAGTGAATCAGCTGTAAACTGCATAAAAAATACTTGATGATGGTAGCAACAATCTCAAAATACGTCCATCAACTTCCCTCAGAAAATCAGTCGGGAAAACGGAACTTAAAAAAAACAGTTTTTTTTATTTTAACTCATATGATTGGAAGCGTTTTTATATGATAGTAAATGCAAGCTGTTCAAATACATTTACGTTTCTTTTATTTTGAATGAAAAACAAACTATCCGAAGCGATGATTTTCACCCATTCTATCCAGAGTGATCAGAGTAAAAAAGACATTTGTGATAGTTTTTAATTTATGTGAAAATGAAAGAATCCATAGTTCATTTTTTTATCCTGTCATCAGTAATAGTGGCAAAAATTTCAACTTTTGCGAAAATATCTAAAAACTGACAAGTGATACAATTGGGCGAGGTACCCTATAAACCAGTGAGAACTGAAACCTAGAAAAGCTGGAGAATTTTTTTTCTAGTGCTGAGGTAAAAAAAAAACACCTGAAAACAATTATTTTCGAAAATTTTTTCTGAGCTTTTTCTGAAGTCTGGAGAACAAAACTAATTTCTGAATTTTTTCCGATTTACAACCTTATTGAAAAAAACGTACACTAGCTCTTTCATCCAGTTTCTTTCAACGATTGTTGCAATTAGTTTTGTTAAACTCAAAATCCTTACCAATAAAACAATAGACGCCTTCATTTGCAAAAACGTTTAAAATTACGACAATTTCGTTTTAAATTCCAACCTGAAGAAAAATTCATAGGATTTTTAACCCCCTTCCCTCATAAGATCAAAGTGAAAATCAATATTCTGCAGTTTTAACACTACAGCAGGCTGCTTATTCTTCTTTTATTTTTAGCCATTAGCAAAAACAACATTTTATTAACCAATAAGAACATTTTCTGCAGCTTAATTTTTATCGCCCTTCTTTTAATTTTAGCCGTCAGAATCTCTTAGTTTTGTTTGAAGACAGCATTTTCTGCAGCCTAAAACAAAAAAGCCTACTTAACAATATCTGCCCCCCCCCCCCCCCCTATGGTATCTCCAGCCCCTATAAATAAGTACAGTAAATTAGCACTACAACTAGAGCTTGCATTGAAAATTTTAATTTTTGCTTGCATTCTGATTAGTGCAAAAATCGACCATTTTGATCTACTTAACAACCCCCCCCCCCTTTCTTGAAAGGGGGAGATTGTTAAATTGATTCCAAAAAAAATGTTTTAACCAATTTAGCCTATTAGCTACGACAAAATTTGCGAGGCTTGCAAATTGCTCTTTAAAACTTCCAATTTGGCTTCCACTAGAAAGAAGCAGAGCAATATGGAGAATGATACAAAAGCAGAAAAAATCCAAACTCAGAAAAACAGAAACTTTTTTTTGCTAATCGGTAAAACAAGTAATATAAATATCAATAATACCAAAGAAACCAAAAGATTATACATAATTGAGTAATTTGAGCACAATTTCTTTTAAATAAAAAAAACTTACGATGAAACTTCTGACGTATTGCATATTTTATTAATTTCTTTTGAAGTTTTGAAATTTCTAAAAATTGTTTTAATCGATTAGCCAGCATAAATTAATATTTATCCGTTTTTCTTCTTTTAGTTTTTTTGCTTTCAGAAAATGTACAAAAATGAAATTACCAAAGGCACTGTCTGTTATCTGACGCCAGATGTCATTGAAAAAAAACTGAAGTTTTTTTAATGTGTTAAGCGGAATTTTTTTACAACGATTTTGTCGTTTTTAAAGTTTAATAAATTACCATTAGACTTTTTTTGAGGCTGAGCAGTAGCTTCAAAGGTGCTGAACGCTTTGAAATATCGAGCATGGGTTTTTGTTAAGCGTTTGATAATACGGTAAAATAGTTGAGCTGTTAGGGGGCATTCACAAGGGCCAAAATTATAAATCAGTCCAATTTGTATCAAAATAAAAAAAATCAATCGCGTTAGTATCAAAAATATTCAAAAGACCAAAGACTACTGAGCCTGCCACTTTAGGCTCATGGCTTAAGGTCGCCGGTGGGTGCGCTACGCGCGCGTGGCCACTTTGCGGCGATATCGGGCTCTTTTTTTTCGGGCTCTGTTGGCAAGTTCTCAACACGTTGGCGCGACTGCGGCGGTCACTATTCTTCTGTTTAGTTTTCTTCTGCTTTGAAAAATTTGGTTACACATGGTACACATGTGACCAATTTTTGTTTTTGGTACAAATGAACCTTAGTACAAATGGGACCTCACCAACTGTTATGTTCGGACCAAGTAAACATCCTCCCCCCTAACCAAGTGCAAACTTGGATGAAGTTAATTGAATAGTTAGTTAGGGGAAGGTGGTCGGTTTAGTGTGATTGGATGTTAACTTGATCTTCAAGTTTTTTAAGCTACATTGAGACCTATATTTTACCAGAACATACTGCTAAAAAGAGAAAAACCATAAATGAGGTTTTCTTCAGACCTGTTGTATACATTGTACAAAAAATATCTCACCTGAGAAATAAATATTAGAATTGAACTAATGGTAAGACCAACAAATTGAAAACTGCATGCAACCAAACTGTTCCATTTTAGGGATATCTCAATAAGTATTAGAATAACTTGACTAATTGTGGCTGAAATTACCATAAGCAATAAAAATGATGAGCATATTTGTTTGTCCATTGCAATATGTAAATCAGAGCATTCATCTTTTTTGTAATTAATTGTAGCAAAAATTCCAAATAAAAGTATTTCAATGAAAAATAAAAGACTCGAAACTATAAATAATTTCATCTTAGATGTTATATTAAAATTAACTGAAGAATTTTTGGCAGTTTGAAATAATGAATTTGGCTCATTATTATTTATTATTTTCAGTAAAATCCACTGCAAAAATAAAGCTTGAATTCCTGGAAAAATCATAAATACACTTTGCAAAAACAGCAAAAACCATCGCCACGAATTTAAATGGTCGATTGACCGGATTAAAACAACAGAGGATAAAAAAGAAATTAGAAGAAGTAAAACTAAGTTTGTAATAATTATCAAAGTTTGTATCGAGAAAAAATGGGCATCACGGCGTTTCATAAACATCAGCCGAAGTATCCAAAATAAATTTAACAGAATTACTAGTAATCCAAGGAGTACAAGTGAAAGAGGCAAAATAAAACCGTTAGCGCTCATTTCTTTTTCGAAAATATTCTTTTTTTGCTCCGCAAACAGTTGTTGAGCTCACTGTTCAATGTGACTAAAAATAATCCTAAGTAAATGAAAGAAAGGAATTTGACGTTTTCAGTTATTTTTGAATCAGTTCTCAGCAAGAGATTCAGCTAATATTGGCAACACGTGTTGAACCTCATAGTTTAAACATATAAGTTGCTACTTGTAGGCCACTATGCAGTGAAAACGATTTTTTTTGCTAAAACTATCATCAAAAGTCTTAAAAACTAGATCAAAGAGAATTTTTAAGCACAATTTGTAGTGTCTTAGACAAAAAAGTCGCACATAAAACCAAAAAACTGGTAGCTGAAAAAGGCCGGTTTGTCAAAATAGGTTGAACAAACGAATGCACGAACACCGAAGAAAGTTTTGTTCCGAACACTAAAATTGGGGAGGAACTTTTTCTTCCGATGTTGTTATGTTTTCGTTTTTTTTCCCGCAAAACCAGGTATAAAAAAGTTATTGACAAGAGTAGAATATTATAGCATAATAACAATTTCTTCTTCAATGGCTTCTTCAGGGTAATCTTTTCCATCGGTCTTGCCCCACCTGCCTCTTCCGCTGGCCTTACAATCGGGATCCGTTATCGGACAATCGACATTCTCGACGAGCTCCAGAAGGAATCAACCTTTTGATTTGTTAATTCTTTTGATTTTCTCAAAAAAGCCGCTCGACCTGCAAAAAGCTTGTGAGACCGTCCTCTTAGTCCACCTATATCATCATGAAGAGCCCCTGCAATTCTTCAAAAAAACTTGTGTGCTTCGAAGCAATCATTATCTCGATTACCTTCTCTCCTCACTGTCCGACTGTTTGTCATGCATATCTTCTGGTTATCTATCTGCACTACTTCATTAAACTCGGATGATTCGATTGACTGTAATGGGGATCACAGTTTACAGGATTTTTCACCTGTTGACTTGACAGACATGCTGTCACCCACTTCCCGCATGCCTTTTTCATTCCAGGCCATTCAAAGCGTTTCAAGATCCTCTGGTATACTTTTTTGATTCCCTGATGGCCCATCTGATCATGTGACCTGAAAAAAAATTCCGTTTGGTAGAGTTGCGGCAACACTATCGCATTATGTTTGTACAGGATCTTGTCCCTCTTCTTTCCTTTTACAAGCAACGAACCCATCCTTATTCAGATATAACCGTCCCTCTTTCTGCATATAGTACTGTCTCAAGATCCGGTAACTATCTTCTTCCAGATCTCCTTTGTCTGGTGCCATAATTTTTGATCAAACTTTACAAGCTACTTGTCATGCGGACCGCGCTCTTAGTAAGTCCGAGAGTTTCTATCTCACCTTCAAAATGTCGTCTTGACCCTGCCGTGTTCAGCTTATCGGGCTGATGTGCGTCATCTTCCATCTTAACACACTAAATTCTTGCCAATGGCTTTGTCTCCTGTTTAAATGGTCCTAGGTCAACGCTGACGGCTTCCTTCTGCTGTAATAGACTCATCGAACTTTTTGACAACGCTATCAGCTCGAAGTCATCTGACGCGTTGTCGAAGACTTTTCATATGGGAACAGGTAACGATCACTATCGGGGTCTTGATGCTTCTCCCTGTCCCAGTCTCTTTCTCGAGTCTCCACTAGTAATGTATGGAAAGCCAACTCTGATAATTCATTTCCAGTGCTCGAGTTCCTGTCCGAGTACGTATCAACCTCCGATATCCTCGAGGTGTCTTCGACAGATGAGTTTACCGCGGAGCATGTCTCCACGGCAGATTCTGATGTGCATGATCTACTCATCCATCTAAACTCCCCGGACCAAACTTTGTCCATCTGGTCATGTCCATCTTCTAATCCATTTCATTCACTGTGCGACTCCCAGACAAGTTTTCTTGCTCCGAGTTTTTTTTCCTCGACTTCTATCAGTCCTTGATCGGGCGCCTCGAAAGTGACTGTCTTCTTCTGAGTCCCGATATCCAGTTCCCTCGTCTTGAACGATGTTCTCATTAAAACGCTTTGAGTAGTTGAGGAAAGTCTTTGCTGATCTACTGCCCTACAATCTCTTTCATTTTCTTTGTACTGGCGTCTTGAATGTTTTATTCACACTTTTCCACTGTCCGTCAGCGATGCCCTGGCTGCTGCCCATTCAGGATCATCTCTAGTCAGTTCTCTCTCCAACAATCCACCCAGCATCCGCATCTTTCCTGGTGGGACTTGCACCATTTTATCTAGCAATTAGAGGTTGTTTATATTCTAACGAGAGACAGCTTTTTGAACCAGGTTTGAAAGTAGCAGCAGATCCAAGGGCACTGGTTCCTTCTTGTATAAGACCTTAATCTCTGTCGCTTTCTCATCATGTATTTCAGGATGATCTGGTATAGGATGTACTGACTTATCCAGCCATTTCATTAAGGGAAGTGCTTTGTAAGTCTTTTTGTCTAAAAACCAGAACCCTTCAGTGATCTCCGCCTGATTAGTTTGCTTCTGTTCCAATCTTTCATAAAATTCAGTTTTCTTACTGACCCTTTCAGCTTTCTGGTGCGTGTCACTCATGCTGTGCTCGATTATCATGTGCTAGCCATCCAACCTGACTATTCAACGACCAATGTAACTCTGGTCCATCGTGTGAGTTTCCTACTAGGATAAGGCTCGGTTAGACACACGCAACTTAAAGGAAGCGCTCCCCCAGTAGACGCAATAATTATCCACGAACGTGACTACCGCAAACGGTTCTGAAATTGGTGCACCGTAATTCATCTCAGTGTCGCTCAATACCTGACTGTCGTATGCAATGGGACGGAGAACTGTTCTTCCATTCGATTTTTGCTCCTGTTGCAGTAGTCCGGAAAAGACTCCCACTGCGGCATCTGTGTCAAGAACGTACATGCCTTTCTCCGTGCGCATTTCTAGCATTGGCGCTTGAAACAGCTCCTGCATGGTATTCTCGAAGGCCTCCTGAGTTCTTTCATTCCATTCAAATTTCTTCCCTTTGTTGCGCATCAGTTGCTGCATCGGGTAGAATTTGTCTGCATGTCCTCCTATAAACTCTCGATAATATTTCGCGAATTCTAGGAAGCGCATCAGCTGCGTGTCTGTTTTGGAGGCCTTTCATGTTAACACGGCATCCGGATCCGGCCTCACTCCATGCTACGCTTATACATCATTCTTCCCATGTCCAGTGTGAAGAAAAACTTGGTATCGCCAAGTTTAGAATGGCTCCCGTCCATGCGTGCTATTGGATTGGATAAGCGTCTTTTAAGGTTTTAAGGTCACCGCATTCAGTTAGCGAAAGTCGCAGCAGAAGATTATCTGTCTTCCTTTGTTTTTGGTCAAGACAACCCAACAAGACCAAGGTGACTTCGAATGTTCTATCATGTCGTATGTGAGCAGACTTTCTATTTCCGCTCGGCACGCCTCCGATTTATGAGGTGTCATGCGCCTCGCTCCCTTACTGTGGGGAACGGTGCCTTCTTCTAATTCGATCTCGTGCTCGACAAAATTACAACAACCAATATCCGTTTTATGTTTAGATAAAACGTCTGTGTTCCGATTTAAAAAAGCCCTTGTCAACCTAAACTCTTCCTCCCACTATCTTACCTCTATTTCCATCAAAAACGGTTTTTAGATTCTAATTTATATGACGAGCGGCCTTCCAAAACATTCGAGCAGCTCAATAAGCCGTCATCTGATTCAGATCTAATTGGAACTATTTTTTTTCAACGAATTCAATTCATTAATCCTTCTTAAAACCAATTCTTTTTTTTGCATGAGCTGGTTAGTTTTTTAATCGATGCTTCAGGTATTGGGGTTTTTTCATAGTCCGTCCTCACTGGCAAAGCGTAGCCAAGTTTCTTTCCACGCTTGAGAAATCGTTATGTGTAGTGTGTTCAACATATTTTTCGCACACAGCCCGTTTCGTGTGACGGAAAACTCCAGCCTAAATCCTCTGAATTTTGACTGTTTGGGTTGGGTAAAAATCACTCAACTTTTTTAAGTTTCTCATCCTGAAAATCGCTAATACTGCCTGCTTGTGCAGTAATTTTACTTTTCGTTCTAAAAAAATTGGTTTCTTTTTTCATTAGTTATTATTCTATTTACTAGTTGCTTCACTTACTTCCTGTCTATGTTCCTAATACTTATCAGTCCATTATTGAGGTCGATCATCACATCCAAATTCATGGCGAAGTCACGCCCCAGGTTGAACCGATCCCAATCATCCACCAGGTTCTCCACCACGAGAAAGCAGATCCAGACTTTCCGTTCTCCCATTTTGAGGACTGTTATTGGGGTTACCCGGCTGCGTAGATGGCTCCTCGATCGGCGGCTGCAAATCTTAGGTTCTTGTTTATCAGGTCCTCCCTGTTGAAACCCATCTTTTCCCATGTCTTTATTGGCATTACACTGACTAATGCTCCTGTGTCTAGGAGTCCTGTCGCTCCGATCTTCTTTCCTACGGTGTCTAGCAGATGTGCAGTCACTTAGGCTTCATATCCAACGTGTACCGCATTTTGTTCCATCCTGGCATCATGACCAATTATACGGAGCTTCAGCTCCTCTCGACCCAAATAAGTCTGCCTATTTAGTCATTGTCTGTCGTGACATAGGTCTTGGTATAAATACTAATCCCATCCACGTTTAGCAAGACGTGATATTGTCCGTAGATTTCCACGTAATGCCTGTGGAATTTCAATGCTCGACTGCCACCCGTCGTTAACAAGGCTCGCACAGCCTCGATTCAGTGCGTGGCTCAGCTAGTCTCAGATAATCTGAAGAAAGGTCCAGATGCATCATGGTGAACTCCGAATGTTCACTCAGATTCCTGTTTACCTGATGCCCTGCCACCGAGATAATCGACTGTATCCTGCAGCCTTGTGGCACCATCCCAAATGTCTGTCCGTAGATCACATTCAACTTCATGCTCAAACTGCTCGGTGCCTTCGATTCTTCCACTTCAGATGCTTCAAAGGCATTGAGTTGATCCTGAGTTTTCTCGTTCTCCAGTTCGAACTTGACCATTTGTTCGATTTTTCTTGTCGCCAACTCCTGTTGAACTCTATCTAGGGCATCTCTTGCCGCTGCTCTATACCAATTTAAAGTCGTTAGCTGCGGTTTCGGGCTCTCTTCCACTCGTCTCTTCTAGAACGACTTGCACTTTCTACGTAGCTATCTCTTGCGGTTTCTCTTTCCTCCGTGCTTCTGCCTCGCTCATTGGGCATGCCTTGCTGTCTTTAATGCCTGAAAAAGCCTCTTCATGCCTTGGGTGCTTCATTTCCGCCACATCATCCAAATATTGTGGATAATCTGATTTAAAATGACCCTCCAGGTTGCAAAAGAAACACTTGGGTCCGAACACTGCAATCAAGCCTCATATAAAATCCTCATTATCGATGTCCGACGCGTCCTCGTCTTCGAGGCTAACACCGATCGCCTTCATGTCGCGTTTACAGAGTGGACATGCTGATACATGAGGTTCTGTGGAACAACAGTTTGCACAAGAGCGTCTCTTGTCCGTGTCATTTCTGGGCTAGTACCAGTAATTACGTTGGTTTGCAGGCCCATTGTTAAAATTGCTATAACTTTTTTGTAATAACCTGCTCAAATTGGAGGCTTTAGCAACAGATATTCATTGGAATTCAGTGGTAGCTTTTCCGGTAGAGGAGCATTAATTGAATGAGGTGTATAGTAAGTCGCTAACATTGTTCTGTGTTCATCGTTCTTCACACCCTCAATGAACTGTGAAGCTTCTACCAAGTTCATCCTGCTGTTTGACTACGCCTTCTAAGCATTTCTAAGTCGAAGTTTTCCTATGGTTGCATCTTCGTGTTGCCTTTTTTTCTCGAAGAGCATCATCGCTTGGCGTCCTTGCACTCCCGAGACAAAGCGATTCAACAGGATTTCGAAGTTTTCTCAGAAGTGTCCCGCTGGTATTGCTTTTTGACCAACACGCAATTCAGGGCTGTCCCTTCCAAGTTGCTGGTGACCGCACTGCCTTCTTGTCTTTCTGTCAAGTTATTTCCTCGAAATCTTCATAACTTCTATCCAGGTATCTACACAACGTCAGACTCGTCCTTATAACATCTCGGTTTCTTGAACAACCTGTTAGATTTCTCACTGCGCTCATTGTGACTTGTGACAAAAGTATCCAGGGACCTGTTCAGGTGTTCGAACACTGTGGCCATTGTTGTTGCATCTCGTGAATGTCCCGTTTTATCATTCATATCTGTTGTTTGAGGCTCCGGAACTACCCTCCTGTCCGAGTCGCTTGGCTGAGCTCTTCTCTGATTCGAGTGATTCCAGTTTGCGGAATCACCTCTTCCACTCGCCCATGCTTCTCGCGCAGGTCTTTCGTTTGAGATTGGCCTACCGCCAGTAGAGCTTCCTCTGATCTTCTTGGGATTTCTAGACCAATGACGT